CATTACGCGCTATATGTCAACTCCGATCTTGTTACTCGGGACAACATTACGTGATATATTTTTCAACTCCGATCTTGTTTCTAGGGACAACATTACGTCATTCATGGTCAAGTTCAAGTTCAACCACAGACATAGAACAATATTTGTCAAATACGGAAGTTGTTACTATGGAAACAATACATTAATTATGTCAAATGTTGTTTTTCGGGAGAACAATACGTGACGTTTGTCAAACTCAGATGTTGAAAATAGGAACAACAATACATAATAAATAATAAATGTCCGTGAAAGAAATTGTTAATCTGGGCAACAATACGTGAAATATGTCAGCCAAATGCTGTTCCCAAGACAGCAATGCGTGCAGTATTCAGTCATGCTTTGTTAATCGGAAAACAATACATGACATATGTCAGTCAGACGCTGTTACCAAGACGACAATACGTGAAGTATTCAGTCATGCGTTGTTACCAAGACAACAATACGTGAAATATGTCAGTCAGGTCTGTTACCAAGACAACAATACGTGAAATATGTCAGTCAGGCGCTGTTACCAAGACAACAATACGTGAAATATGTCAGTCAGGCGTTGTTACTGTCACCCTGGTAAAGCACTAGCCACTTCCCACCGTCTCGCCTATGGAGAATTTCTCTTTAGCTCATTTGGTAGAGCGTAAGACTAGTTAACCGGAGGTCCCGGGTTGGACTCCTAGCGGAGGCACTGAAAAAATAAATGACCCTCTGTAACATTAGCGCCAACGTAGGGACTCGGGAGATTGCAAATGAATCGCTACGATTCCTAGAGGGGAAGTATGTCACCCTGGTAAAATACTGGCCGCTTCCTACTGTCTCGGCTAGGGAGAATTTCTCTTTAGCTCATTCGATAGAGCGTAAGACTAGTAAACCAGAGGTCCCGGATTCAATACATGAAATATGTCAGATAGGCGCTGTTACCAAGAAAACATACGTGAAATATGTCAGTCAGGCGCTGTTACCAAGAAAACATACGTGAATTTGTCAGTCAGGCGCTGTTACCAAGAAAACAAACGTGAAATATGTCAGTCAGGCGCTGTTAACAAGACAACAATGCGTGAAATATGTCAGTCAGGCGCTGTTAACAATACAACAATACGTGAAATATGTCAGTCAGGCGCTGTTACCAAGACAACAATACGTGAAATATGTCAGGCGCTGTTACCAAGACAATAATACGTGAAATATGTCAGTCAGGCGCTGTTACCAAGAAAACATACATGAAATATGTCAAACACAGAAGTTTTTATTTTAACTTTATTGATATAAAGCTTTACCTGGAGAGGTTGAATTATGGCTATGGAATATTTTGTTTCAGATACCATTTCTTTCAATCATTGTTCTGGCAGATGTGTGCCACACGTGTGTGCATTTGTAACAATATGACATATCTATTCATATCCAATATACTTTTACCAGTGGAATAATATACTTTTACCAGTGGAACAATATAATATACTTTTACCAGTGGAATAATATACTTTTACCAGTGGAATAATATACTTTTTTGATTGCGAAAATGATTTGATATGAACCTGAAAATGTGATATTAACCGAGGCGAATTTCTCTTTAGCTCATTTGGTAGAGCGTAAGACTAGTTAACCGGAGGTCCCGGGTTTGACTCCTAGCTAGCGGAGGCACTGAAAAAATAAATGACCCTCTGTAAAATAAGCGCCAACGTAGGGACTCGGGAGATATGACAAAAATACTCGGCGATACTTGCAAATGAATCGCTACGATTCCTAGGCGATATTAACCGAGGCGAAGGTTCATACCACATCACATTTACTATCACAAATGTCCATACTTGTTTCTTATCATACATGCTCCTTATAAAGAAATTAACATTTTTGTTGGAGGGAGTTGGACTCTGTTTGCGAAAGCCCATTGATTTAAAAAGAAAAATTAATAAACATAATATTTTTAGTTTTTGATGTATAACAGTTATATTTCATTCATAAGTTTCATTGATGTTTTTAATTGCTGTCTTGTGCCACGTAGCACTCTTAAAAAATATCAATATATTCACTCCACTCCTGTATTGTAGCTTTAGTAGCGTACGGTACACTGTTTAGGTTTGGAAATGTAGTGCATGCATTCAACTTGTACAGTCCAATAGTGAAACCATATTACATTCCAATAAGACTTCCCTTCACAATGAACTTTTTGTTTTATTTCTTGCTCTCTTGCACCCCTCCGCTTTATTTCCTTTGGGTTTTAATACATCAACAGTCAATACCGTCCTAGCGTGCTTAATGAATGTAAGGAGACGGATTTATATAAGTACCATGTTACTTGTTATTTGTATTACTGCAATATATTTAGAATAAAATAAAGTTTAAACTAAACTTATGTAACTGTTATTCATCAGAAACAAAATAAATGTCCTCCTCATAATGCAGATCAAGTACATTGCTACACAACGATAAGGCATACCTATTTATATACTACAGTATAACACTAACAAAAATACCTGTCTGTTTACATATACATGTAAGATATATTTTTAAAACAATACAAACCCTTTGATACTTATTTATCAATAATAATGATAACAATAATAAACAAACATAATAAAAGATAAGACGAAATTATAAACATTTAGAAGTACAGTTCATAAGTACATGATACTGTACTGTCCGACCTGTATATAAACATGGTTGTTGTTTCATTGCGTAAATATGTAACAGGGTGTTTATTACTCATAATGTATGTAACGTTGGGGGACCAGTGTCAGAAGTCTCAAATATACCTGTTATTTTATGTCAGAAATCTGAAATATACCTGTTATTTTATGTCAGAAATCTCAAATATACCTGTTATTTTATGTCAGAAATCTCAAATATGCCTGTTATTTTATGTCAGAAGTCTCAAATATGCCTGTTATTTTATGTCAGAAGTCTCAAATATACCTGTTATTTTATGTCCATTTATACTAAATTTAATATGTATAAAATAACGCCTTTGTGTTTATAAAATATACCTCCCTGAGCATAACTCAAAAAACTACACAATTATTAATTTGTTGTTAAAGGATTGTATATATATGTTTTTTCATGTCTATAGAAATTTATGTTAGAAATTGAATAGCAGCAAAATTTGAGTGAAATTAATTTTGATTTATCAAATAAATATATTTGATAAATTTGTAGGTATATGTTTATATATGTTTACTTATTTATAAGTCCAAGTCTTTTCTGATCATAAATAATAATAGCATTTAAAACTGATTTCTTTCTCTACAACAACAAGAAAAATGACCGAAAAATAATATTTAAAAAATTCATTCATTTCAAAATAAAATGAATCAACTAAAACATAAATTAAGTATTGTCTTTTTAATGTAATTGTTTTCACAATTTTATAATAAAACGTTTGATAATCACTAACAATAAAGCCTTTTCGTTTCTGCATTGTATTCTCGACACAAGCCAGATGTTCATCGATATTGAGAAACTATTATCATGTAGGTAACGGAGAAGGGAGGGAGGGAAACGGAGGGATGAAGCGGGGGAGTTAGGAGCAGGTAAAGAGTATAGGGTCCCACCATTGCGTAATAACGCACTGAATCAACGGCAGACACCTGTGCCGTACTGGATCCTTCGGTCAGTTAGTAAACATTGCCTTACATGGTATGCCAATACAGTCTTCGATTCATAACATTTGAAATTAATTAAGAACAATTATTCTGACATCCATTTGTATGAAATAATCAGCAGTATCCATTAAAAAGGTGATTCACTTGTTATAAATCGAAGAATTGAATTGCCAAAGTGAGGATAAGGCCTGTGATATTGTTTACGTTGTGTTGCAGTGTGTCACGCAGTGTTGTAGTACTTATTACAAAACAAATAGATCTTTCTTTAATAATTCATCAGCACATTTTTAGTGAAATGTTTCTTTTATTATTTGTCAGCATATTTTTAATGAAATATTCTGTTACTAGCATTCTAATGCAGACGTTAGTTGAATCTCGGAATTAGATATCTAAGTCCGTGGTTGAATCAAGATAGCCAGTGCTAAATTAATCTTAAAAATCCGATTTTTAAAATCTGTGTATGAAAACGTTCAAAATTGTTTTTAAACGCAGTAGTATTTTTGTCTGAAATCAATTTATCTAAACTAACCTCATTTCTTTCGCTTTCATTTATCTACATAACATGTCAACTCTGGGCGTTCTATGTGTTTATAATCATAATACACAGCTAAGAACTTCCTCAATAAAACCGTACAGTTGTTGGTCTACTCTGTCCTTCCATCTGAGGTTTAATCTATAATGTTTATCATAGTTAATTTACTTATCCAAGATAAAAATTATGTTCAATTCAAAAGTAAGAATTAAGGCAGTAATTTTTCTCGTAATAATGTAAATGTAAATATTCGCGTTTTATATTAGTGACACCAATTACCGGTATCAATATTTAATCAGGAAATTATATAAAGTTATTTTTTCTTCGCCCAATAAAACCCATTTATTAACTGTATACAAATAATACAAATTACAAACGAAATCGACATTATTCTATTTCGTCTAGAGCTCAAAGCTTACATCGATTGATGATCCTTTCAAAAATCTATCTTTAATTAATTTCAAAGAACCATGTAGTGAGCAAATAAATATTTTTTTTAAGCAAGTTGGCCGATATCTCAGAGGCATAACTAAAGATTTATATTCGTCAACTAAATCAATTTCTTTTGTAAATCTTATCGATTGATAAGTTATGTAAATAGTTTACTTTCAAGGTAAGTTATTATGGAAATAAATAATTTCACCTGTAACAATATAGGTAATTATATGTACCTGTGTTACCTGACCAGGTAGGCGGTGAATGGCTGCCTATATCTAACTTATCAATAGCCTGTCCGCGACGAGAGGCAGTTCCCCCAGACATTCCTCAGGCATGTGTATTGTCTGAGTGACAGCCAGCCCCTACGCGAGGTGATGGCAAGCGAAAAAATCAATCTACGCTATTGGTATCATACGTTCTCCGTTGTTTGACGCGAGCGGACTAAGGTGACTGGGGTAGCTCGCAGCCTCGCAAAACTATGGATAAAATGTGTATTTTAGATTGATTGACAGTTCCGTTATACGTCGAGCTTTTATTAATCATCACCGATTTGGATTATATATACGAATTTTAAAGCGAAAAGTTTATTTTTGATTCCAGTTGGAGTGTGAAGTAAACTGCATACCTGTGAATGAATTGGAACAGGGGAGAAAACTCCGGGTTTACTATCGTCGAAGAAAACTATCGTCTCTCTGAACGGTGACGTGATTGTATCTTTGTGGATTTATTAATATACATGTGTGCTCATATTGAACCAGTGGTTTAATTCCAATATTGAAACGATAGTTATCCACCGTGAAAATACAGTAGCCTGGTTATAATCAACTGCAGCACACTTCAAAGTGGAAATTCTGTTTAATTATTCACCACTGCTACCACGCATGCGCACGGAGTTATTGTAACAGAAAGTGAAAAACATGGCGAAAGGCTGGTGGAGTGGAATATGGGCTCCGATTTTACTGTTTTCTAGCTCGTTTACAAGTGTTGTAATATGTGCGAGAGAAGGTAAGAACTTTTGTTTACATGCTGTTCAACTACAGTTTTCACTTCAATAGAAATGTCTTGCTGTCTGAGAGTTTTCAGAAGTTATTTGCTAGTGTTGATATTTGAGCGCACCTGCTGTCCTGCTATCGGAGCAAGCTAACTCGGCCAGTTACTGTCAACTCGAGGGACGATTTAAGTTCACGCGAATAGCTTTGGGGCACCTAAATTGTACATATAAGTCGAATTAGTTAATTCGACTGTCAGTTCTCCTATTGTCATCCCATTTAATCAGTTTCATTTGGCTGTATATATATGTTACCGACGATACATTTACCTCGTGTAAAAGAATGTCCACAAATCAATCGTTTCAGTAGAGAGACAAAAATAACATTTTCGGTGTTTATGTCACCGTCGTGTTTGTTAAAAACTAATTTATTTAAAAATAAAAATTTAAAAACTTTTAATTAATTACATAATATGAAAGTTTGAATGTTGTTGAAGTGGAATCGTTACGAAGATTTGTATAAATGTCGCGTAACTTTGCTAAATGAATAACCGGCCGTCCCAAGTTGAGATTTCCCCCTCTTCGGCTCAGGCGTTAATCCCTGTTTTGGGATTTAACTGAGTGAGGTGGTCCCTGAAATGTTTTGACAATGTCTGTCACGTTTTGCTAGTATTTGTTGATGGGATTTCCACAGATTGGATAGCCTGTTTAGAAGTCTGCTGTGCAGTTCTATTCACTGGATTTTATAATCTCACCTAAAGTTGTCACTTTGCAAATTGTTTGGGTTTTATAGCTGCCTAAATAGGTAACGCTATGAGAAAAAAATTATTGTATCACCCAATTACATTTATATTTGGTAAAGAACCATAAGATACATATATTATATCAGTATTAAAGTCATATTGGTTGAGCTGTATTTTATTGGTATAATTTAACAGATTGAAAAAAAATTGACATTACTGACTAAACACATTTTTACTATGATATCCCCGATATAAGTGTTGTAAACCACACAAAGTAACCTTCTAAAATGTTAGGCCAGGTAGAAAATAAATATTTGACCGGTAGGTCTGGTGATCCTGTCTATTTTTATACTTCAAAAATTGTTTTCACTGTAAAATTTGAATGTTTAAAATCTGTTGAAAAATATTCTCTAAAAGAAAGCTTGAAAAGTAATCATTTTCTTCGCACAAATCATGCAGGAAACACAAAATATTTGAATATATATACAATTATTTATTATAAAAGCAGAAAAATGATCCTTACGGACAAAGAAATAATATAAAAAGAAAAATTCCCAACAATGAGTCTTTAGTACTTTCATCTCTTCTTAGGGAGATTCTTCAGATTATATATATATATTGCAATGACAAATAATCCAATGATAACATTTAATATCTTTTAGACAAAGTTAGTCGATGAAACACCAGACAAATTATTTCATAAATGTATTATTGACAGCTTCTTCATTTTGAAGTCTAAATTAGTAGAAATGCTTATTATCAGAGTATGATAAATTAAAAGAATAATTAACAGGTAGTTTTGTATTACTTATTTTACTAGTATATGTCAGGTAAAATAACACATTTATCTGTATACAGGTGAGTCCACTTTCATCTTTGATGGAAAAGATATGTAACATATCTCTTGATATTAGTTTCCCTGGATGCAATTCATCATTTAAGTTTATGAGTTCTTTCCTGTTCAACTTCAGTTTTCTTTGTAAATTTGATATACTATGTTTTATAAAACAATATATACCACCAGTTAATACCATTATGAAGTTATTTAAGGGCTTGTTTTAAATAATCTCTTTTCTCAATGTTTCTAATAACCGGTTATTTAAGAATGACTTTTCTTTGTTTCAAATGTGAGTTTTGAAGCTAACAAAACCAAACAAGTGTTTAAGTTCTCTGGGAGGGAAATGGTTAAGTTTCTCATTGGAGCGTGGGTTCTCCGAATCAAACATGATAAATCATCTGTCGCCCTCATCCAAGGAAAGAACACAAAATTAATGATGCAGAGCAGTGTTCTTAAAAATCCATTAAATACCTTTACATAATGACTATCAAAACCACTTAATCTAAGATTTGTAATAAAAGTCGGAACACACCAGACTTCAAAAAAAACTGTGTAACTCGAAAAAATTCCTGCACTGTCACTCATTAAATCAAGCCAAGCTTAATTTAGTGACACATTTTGTGTTATAAAAATTGTATAATGTAATTTTAATAACTGAAGAAATGAAATACTGCAGAACATATATATATATACAACAGTTAAGAAAAAAGGTTATGATGTATTGATGTTGTAAACAATTAACACATAAAATGTAAAGAAATGCACTGAAGAATTCACAATTTATAAGAAATCTTTTTCCGAAGTGTAAAACATGGAAGTAGTGAAACAGGCAGTTAGAAGGAAAATGTTAACATACACTTTTACATTGGGAATAGGTTTAGATAGCTATCTAGATCCGAACATGTATAAATTTCAAAATTGGTTAGATTTTGTAAATAATATTTTCAGTTGATAAGGGAAATGTTTATATGTTTGAGATAGGTTATGATTAGCTTCGGAAGCTGTAAATACCCCAAGTGCTGCGATATTGGATTGAAGTGCATAGCCAGCTGTATATAAACATTGGCTAGCAGAGGATACAGTTTCTCACCCCCAACACAAATTAACACTCGGCTGAAATATATTTGGTGTTTGAACTGTCAAGCATTTGTGATGTATATCCGTATACTGGACCAGTGGAAGATATCACGGTAAATTTTGAAAAAAACCACTCCGGAATATTTGTTGGAGTTACCATGTATATGAAAAATTCTCGAAGGATTTCGGAAACAAAATGTGTCTTCGAACTAAACAAGCGTTGGACTGTGTTAAGTAATACCACGGATAAACAACCATTCAGACATGATTTGCTGAACTCGGATGTGGGCAGGACGATATGTACTTTGTCCTTCTCTCTCTTTATCCTTACAAAAACACCTCAACACTTCAGGACACAGGAACCTATTTGCAGTGGAGTGCCAAAAGGGTGTGCAACACCCAAAATGTGGATAATTGTTATGACCATTGAAAATCAGGAAGTGGCCTCCAGCCCTTTGTCACTCTGGACATGGTGCATTTAGTGAGAATCGCCTGGAGATTTGTGTATGTGTTGGATTGTTATCATAGACCACACAAAACAGGTCGGCCTGGGGACTCCACTCCACGGACATGGAGGGTGACCTAAGTTAATATCCCTCCGTGTAATTACTAAATGGAACATTCCTATAAGCCATTAGTCTTCGATTTGGCTGGATATGTAGCCACGGATAACATCTCTCGTGAGAATATTTTGGAAAGTAAATACAGTATAACTGAATTTTGAACTGTATTGTATGTATATGACAGACAATATCCGTAATGTATTACCGTTGGGAAATTTCTATGGACAGGATTTAGATAATGACAACATGATTCAATTTATTTTTCATGGTAAAAGAAATTAAAAAACCCATTAAAACAAATATCCTTTCCAGCATTTTTAAACGTATTCATGTGAAAATATATATTTTTTCAGATTAAATTAAGGAAAAAAAGGTCTTGACAGTTTTCCTATCATACGGAATTATACCAACACCTTTCCGGCGTAATCCTGAAATGTTAATCCCGTGATGAATTCCATGTCCAAGGGAATATGTGTATCATCAGTGCCTAACATTTGTAGACATATCATATCCCTATGTAAATTGATTGCTACGCTGGATAAGTGATTAGCATGCTTTATAATTTGCCATTAGATTGTACAGACAAAAGTGTGGCCTAATTATGTAAATCGGGACGCGAATGTAACAGTACGATGATGGGAGCTTCGATTTAATACAATTTTGTGTTATATTTAATGGGCAAAATTTTGTGTTGCACTGGTAGTGTTTAGGTCTGCTAACTAGATATTTACTGATCCACATACATACAGTTACTAGTAGGTCCACTGATGTACCAATGTATGGGGGGTCTGATGCTTTACGCACAGGGAACCGCTCTCACAATAATGGTCGGCTCCGATATTATGAGTAACATAACTGGGGATGGGAAATACAGGATTCCAATGTTTACCGACAGATACACATCACATTGCAGGGGGATTGGATTAGTGTTTTCACAATAAACACTTATGAGGAGGTAGATTGTTCTGATTGAGAGAGTAAGGCTAGCCTTGAGACCAACATTTTACTACCCGTCTATCTAAAGTATATTTTCATAACTTACAAATTATTTCTTTATGTTACATGTATCTTATATAACGAATACCATTTCTGTGTGTGATGTCCCCAGTTTTATAACCAGCCTCACGGCCCTATCTCCCTGGGTATCTAAATGCTATTGAGGGTTGTTTCTGTGGTCCATTTCTTAGCTATGATCAATATTGGTTATTTACAGATTATTATTTTATGTTACTTGAGTATATATAGAACCAGTAATTGATGTGATAGGAATCAAGCCGGTACTGAACAGACTGAGTGAAATAATATGGGGACTTCAAAAATGTACAACTTACTACATAATTGGTTGATTATTTTATTCTTTGTTATTTATTATATATGCCCACTCTTCTATGAAAACTATTTTACCAGTATCTAAACCTCGATCTATTCACCAATTTCTAATCTAATTAATTTTCTTCTCTCAAAAAGTTGTATTGTTGATCTTTTTCATTTCGTAATAATTTTTAAAAGTATCGGGTAAATTAACTACTGTTTAATACATATATATAAATATATAAGAATCTATTATTATTATTTTGAAAAGTTAGAAATTATTTGAAATAATTATAGCATTAATAAGAATTTGAAAGACTCATAATTGATCGTCTATGTTAGTTTCCTGATAGTCTGCCAGCTGATACCTTAAAATTTTCAGTAATTACGCTACATATGTAAAATGTACATATAAATTGAGATGATTCGAAACAACATCATAGTTTCCACTATGGTTGTCATTCACTTGGGTCTATATTTACATC